CCGGCCCACGCTGCGCCTGGGCTGGGACTGGTCCCGCCGGCGCAGGGTAGCAGGAAACTCTCCGCACACTCACCGGACCTGGGCTAGGACTGGGTCTAGTACACATATATTTAAATACATGGAAGTACATATATATTTAAAAGTATGTCTATGTAATTAAGCAAAACATTTTAAAGTCTACATATACATCTATCATACTTTTTTAAGAGTCTGCAGAGCAATCCATTGTACAGATGAAGCATAAGATTTATTGTGGTCAATATCTGCATATGTTATAAAACATGCTTTTAACAATTTCTAGGTATACAGTCCAGTAACATTAATTGCATCTAATTATATTTTAACCCTTTTTGTGACTGATGGACCTTAAAATTGTTTCTATAAAATTTATATTAGAAAAAATACGCTCAAGGAAATGTTTTTGTACACGCAGATTTATATATTTCGGCTGGATTATCAGAAGGATGTATCTGGATGTCTGAGATTAACACATTGTAGATTATGCATATAAATGTTTTTGTCAAACACTCTTAAGTTTCTCTGTGATAAGGCTCTACCAATGTATACATTCATTAACAATAAATGAGAGCATTTGTGGAGAAAAGACAAAATTAAAGTAACTATTGATACAGTTGAACTTGTGTCTATAAATTCATTATTGTGAGTAATTCTTTAAAGATCATGTTGTGTTTAGTGTCTGCTAATTTCCTAGGTGTTTATTTTTGTCATGTAGCTGTTAAAGGAACTAAGTATAGAGGCATCATTTACACAGAGTGAAATCCTCATGCTGCGTATTCCCAGTCTGAGAGACGCATGAATCTGAGACGTGGAAAGCCCTATACAATGTGTTCATCAATTCAGGGTTTCCTCATGCCTGCTCCCCAGGGTCTGCCCAACTCAAAGTGATTAGTGAAAAATAGGGAATTCCTCATAGCACCATTTTTCCATTGTGTAAGATGCAAATATTTCCACCTAGTCTTTCACTCCATTTTTTGTTGATAATGAATTCTAAAATATGAAAGATTACTTTTTCTGAGTGGCTAAACACAAGCTTTTTCTATCTTGACATCTGACTTTCTTTTTATCTGATATATTCTATCAGACTGTATTGTCATGTTGTAAAAATTATTCTCTTATTTTTTATAATGTTTTACTTTTCTTATATTCACTGACTATTTTGATGCAAATATTTGGTGTGAGATGAATTTCCAACTTTAACTATCTTGGATGTTACATTTATTCTTTGGTAGGGATCCAACCTTATTCTTTTCAAATAAGCATAAATTTCTCAATCATTTATTAAGTAACCTGTCCTTTGCTCTTTCATTTTTATACTGCCTTATCTTACCCAAATTAAACATAAATTTGGATTTGAATCCTCAATACTACAGGCCTTTGTGCCATACTTCTTTTTGCATGAACTACTTCAACCACATTAGCTTCAGTGGTTCCTCAAGCTCACCAAATCTAGTCCTGATTCTGGAATTCTACTTTCTACTTCCTACTCTTTGTTCCTTTCTTTCTTCTTTCCTTCAGTTACATTTTCCACTTTAGATTTGTTTCTGGTCCATGAATTTTTAAAATCTTTTAAAAATATATAAACATCGCCGTGCGCCCCGGAAGCCACCCGCGCCCCGACCCCGGCGGCCTGAGGGGCGGCGCGGCGGTCGGGGCCGCGGGTCCGACATGGCTTCGGCGGGAGGCGGCGACAGCGAGGTCTCCGCGACGGAACCCGAGCGTCCCCAGCCCCGGCCCTTCCTTATCGGGGTGAGCGGCGTCAGGGCGAGCGGGAAGACCACCGTGTGTGAGAAGATCATGGAGCTGCTGGGCCAGAACGAAGTGGACCACCGGCAGCGCAAGCTGGTCATCCTGAGCCAGGACCGCTTCTACAAGGTCCTGACCGCAGAGCAGAAGGCCAAGGCCCTGAAGGGCCAGTACAACTTCGACCACCCAGATGCTTTTGATAACGATTTGGTGCACAGGACTCTGAAAAACATCGTGGAGGGCAGAACTGTGGAGGTCCCCACCTATGCATTTGTGACCCACACAAGGTTGCCAGAGACCACAGTGGTGTACCCTGCTGATGTGGTGCTGTTCGAGGGCATCCTGGTGTTCTACAGCCAAGAGATCCGGGACATGTTTCACCTGCGCCTCTTTGTGGACACAGACTCTGACGTCAGGCTGTCCTGGAGGGTTCTGCGAGATGTGCACCGAGGGCGGGACCTGGAGCAGATTCTGACCCAGTACACCACCTTCGTGAAGCCAGCCTTTGAGGAGTTCTGCCTGCCGACAAAGAAATATGCTGACGTGATCATCCCCTGTGGGGCTGACAACACGGTAGCCATCAATCTGATAGTGCGGCATATCCAGGACATTCTCAATGGTGACCTCTGCAAGCGGCACCGGGGCGGCGCCAATGGGCGCAACCACAAGAGGACCTTTCCTGAGCCACGGGACCACCCCGGGGTGCTGGCTTCTGGCAAACGGTCACACCTGGAGTCCAGCAGCAGACCCCACTGAGTGCCTCGGGCACTCACCAGGCTGGAAGCACAGCTGCCACGGCCTCTTGCTAGTCCTGGTGGAATTGGGACCAAGGCGTCTTCATGTGGAGGGCGTGGCGTGGGTCACTGAAGCAGCTTCTAGCTTCCCGCTGCTTCAGGCAAGGAGGTCGGTGTGGGAGAATCCTGTGGCACCTGAAGGAGTGTGAGTCCTGTACTTTTGGGAAAGCGGAAACAATCTGGCCACTGGCGGGCCTGGTAATGTTTGGTGGCAGACCCACAGCAAGAGATCACTGTCCCTCTGTGATCTGTGCTGAGACATGTGGTCCAGGTGTTTCACTGTCCCATAGCACAA